ATTAGTCTCTGCGTTAAAGGAACTGCATAGAGGATATTGTGTGACCATTAACTAAGCAGACTGGAAGAAAAAAAAAACTAATAAAATTAAAAACGAAACCTCAAGAATCATGAACATGATCCAATGCCTTGAAAAACATGGCTTTGAAGCAATTTTCACTCAGATATGGCTAGTAATTTTCACTAATAATTACAATGAATCTGCATATAACACATTGAATTAAATGTGAAATTTTGAAGTAGAAAACCTAATTACTATTTTCTTGTAAAACACACAATAATAACCAACTTAAAAAATTTTTTTTTACAGCGTATAACAGCAAAACAATACAGAAATGTATTTCAATATTTTCTTTAAAATGATGGGCTGTGGGGTCTTTTTCAATTCCCTTAAATGAGATAAACAGAAATGAGCCTGATATGTAAGATTATTCCCAGGATGCATTGAGGGTGACTGCTGTTTTCTCAGGGTGGTGCAACTATGACTATAGATAGACATAGGCACTGATTGACGGATTTACCCACAACAGAAACATGAGTTTATTTTGTTACTTATAAAAAAGGCAGCCCAGATATTTTTTAAATGTGATTTGAAGAAGCTGAGTCATAGACCCATTTCATGCACCACAGCCTTCAAATAAAGACACACGTTGTGAAGAAAGCACTTAAATAAGACATGAAAACATGTGTTTAATTAGATTACCCATATTAGGGCACGATTGGATGGAAAGGGAGGAAAGGCTTTGAAAGGAAATTATTAAATCGTGATGAAGTCATTGAACTCATGAACAACTTTTCTCTTGACATCTACAGATAACCGAGGATGTTTTTCCTCATCTAAACTGGCCAGCGTTTTACTCTTTTGACTTGCACTGTGAAGAATAAGAATGTTTCAGATGATACAAGGAAAAACTAATTTATATTTATTTATTTATAGTCCTACACTACTGTTCAAAAGTTTGGGGTCACTAAGATGTTTAAAATACTTTCGAAAGTAGTCTCACCATGGCTGCATACACTTGATTTAAAATACAGTAACTGTAATATTGTGAAATATTATGACAGTTTCAAATAACTGTTTTCTATTTTAATATATTTTAAAAAGTAATTTATTCCTGTAATGGAAAAGCTGAGTTTTCAGCATCATTACTCCAGTCTTCAGTCACATGGTTCTTCATAAATGTGGTAAAGACAGACACGGATTAATTATTATGTGGTTATTTGGGTGCCATATCCAGGGGGAAACCATGCAGGGTCATATAAATGATCTCTTAACAGCCAGACATGGCCAAAGACCAAGAAGAAGAAAAGAAAAAAAGGCCCAGAGAAAATATATTCATATTCTTGCTCACACATACTGTCTCTGGTGTAATATACCAGGTGATTACAATGTAAAAGATCAATATTTCAATTTCAAGCTGCATTTTTGTTCTCAGAGATTAGAGAACAATCAAATTCAAAATCTGCCAAAGGAAGCCTTACTCCCAGCCCTACTGATAGCAAAAATGAGAAGGTTTTAGCCTGGGTGCAAGTGTTTGTTTTTGTGAATTATTCATAGAGATGTGTTTGTGCAAGCGAATAGCCATTTGCTCCAATACTGAAGGGCAAATAATACAGATTGCCCAAACATAACAGAAGAGGAATGTGACATTGAGAAGTGGAAATGCGGACGATGCCTTCTGCACTGCAGCAGGGACACTTACTGATAAACAGGCCTCGTGACAGATGGAGCAACGCTGAAGCTTCCTCATAACACACTGTTTATTTACATCAGCCTGAAGAGCTTTGATGGACTGGTGGCAAGTCGTTTATCCACATTTATTCTAAGAAAAGAAGAAAGAAATGTTTCTGAATATCAAATAGTTCCGTTTCTGATGGTTTTCTTTTCTTTCTGTTGAAACTAAGACAAATTAATAAATAGGAAACACAGTTATCAAAATACGTTTATATCTTAAAATAAACCAATTTTAGATAATTTTAAAACAATATATATGGCTACTGTGCTCGGTCGCAACAAATTACCTAGAAATCATCCAGTCAATCCGTCGTAGCCACAGATTGGTCCACACTCAAAATTTCTGGAATCTCTCAACAAGTAAGGATTTGTTCTTATTACCACCCCATTGTGGTTAAGGCTGCAAAACTACTGTTAAAACACATTTCCCTCTGACTTATTTTCACTTTTTTTTTTTTTTATCAGCCCAACAGTTGTTGTCAGTTTTCTTTTTTTATTCATCATTCATCTACACCTCACCAAACACTTATCAAAAGCCTCAGCCAATGAGCAGCTGCCAAGAAACACAAAACCTGCACACGTTCCTCCCATTACAACATTTGCATATACTGCTCAATCTCAGGCCAATAACTTTCACAAACACTCCACACTGCACTCTTAACAACACTAATCTGAATATGCATACAAACACCTGCAAGAGCTCACTCACTCACTCACACTCTCTCTCTCTCACACACACACACACACACACACACACTCTCGCTCTCTCACACACTCTCGCTCTCT